AAGTCTGATGGGTTCTGCAATCTTTGTGGGAGAGAAGGTTGACACATTTCTGCATTGGAATAGCTCATCAAACTTCATGGAAAAGTAGAATTGCACAGGATGGACAACTGGGACTATAAACTAAGTAATGACTCTTTTTCCTGGTTGGATCTTCAATCGGCAGTTGCACATTTTGAGTCATTGCAACATCAAACTAGTTCTTTTGCTCACCAGAGAGATTGCTGTCATCCAAACTTCAATCACAAAGGATTCTTTCTATGTGAGCACTACTAGAGCCATGCACTACAGAAATAAGAGGTGATGCACCAAGCCCCTGAAGACAATGAATGCCTGTGCAACTATGTATACATTGGGTGTAATACAACTTATGGAGATATACCCAAGCTAGCTCTAATATAGCTAGCTCAGGTACCGGCAGGGCCGGCTCCAGCATTTCTGCCGCCCCAAGCAAAAAAAAAAAAAAAAACCCGCAATCGCGATTGGCGGCGGCAATTGGAAAAAAAAAAAAGCTGCGATCGGCGGCAGCAGTTCAGCGGCAGGTCCTTTGCTCCTAGAGGGAGTGAGGGACCTGCCGCCCCCGAATTGCCGCAGGTGCCACCCCTCTCCCTTGGCCGCCCCAAGCACCTGCTTGTTAAGCTGGTGCCTGGAGCCAGCCCTGGGTACCGGTAGCACTGAAGCTGCTTTAGTGTTAGCTAGCCATGTGAGTAATTGCCCAGGGTTTCTGGTGAGCTTCTACAGCCCGCGCTGAAGAGACTTCACTGTTCCAGTACTCAAGTTAATTATATTAAAGGTAGCTCATGGATGTCTACACGAGCTGCAGTCACAACATATAATATTGCTCATACCTTCTTTTTATGAAAGCCGTTTGAAGCTGATAAATCTTGAAAATAAAGTAGATCAGAACCAGGAAGAGGATAAGCTTTGGTCCAAGACTTTCTGCATGACAATTGATTTCACTTTGTGAGTTGAGGGAGATGTAGTGAACGTTATTCTGGAAGATAAAAATGGGACCTGTGGCTTAGATTCAAGGCCAGATCCTCATTCAGCCAAACTCCATTAAGTCAATCCATCCTTGAAGTTAGTGAAACTAAATTTGAGTTACATAGGCTGTAAAATCTGGCCTTCTGTGTATAGCCTAACAAGTGCACAAGGAGTCCAAGGTCCCTATGATCCAGTCATTACAGTATTAGGATACATCTGGAACTCAGTACAAAACAAGAACTGGTGTTGCAGTACATTAGGCCAGTACTTAAGGGGTTGTATAAAAGATGAAATCACATTAAAAATCCATAGCTGCATTGTTTGCTTTATTTAAATACAGAAACTTTGCTCAATTTCATATAGACACATTGTTACCATATGGATTGTAGCATGACCTAGTACTGGTTCCTTGATGTGTATTCCCAGATAACAATGGTGAGGTCTGTACTATTCTGTAAAAGAAGTCCTTGTGGGACCAGTGGATTGTATGCTACAAAATACAGCTAACATGGCAATGCAAGTATCCTCACGAACAGGGGCGGCTCCAGGCACCAGCGCACCAAGCTGGTGTCTGGGGCGGCAAGCCGCGTGGGGCGGCCTGCCGGTTACCGTGAGGGTGGCAGTCAGGCTGCCTTCAGCGGTGTGCCTGTGGGAGGTCCGCCAGTCCCGCGGTTTTGGTGGCAATTCGGCGGCGGGTACACCGAAGGTGCGGGACCGGCAGAGCTCCTGCAGGCATGCCGCCGAATCCGCATTACCAGCGGACCACCCGCAGGTGCGCCACCGAAAGCCACCTGACTGCCGTGCTTGGGGCGGCAAAATACATAGAGCCACCCCTGCTCACGAATGCATACTTGTTGCCAATTTACACAGAAAGACTATTCTTTAGTACTTTTAAATACAATAATTTGGTAAATAAATGGGGGTGCAAGAATTTTAAAATGAGTTTTATGTGCCTTTTTTCTCACAATTAGACTAAAGTTGTAAAGTCCTGTTGAATTATAACTGATACATACAGTGGACAAAAGCATGTACCAGACAATGTAGGGACACATTAGGTAATCGCTTATAAAGCGTTGATTTAGAGCTGTAGAGCGACTAAGAGTTTTAATAAAATCTAGCACCCATATAGCGCTTTACATGTTCAAAGCATTGTAGAGACTTCAGATGATGTAATTAATAAAATAGCCAGTTCAACAAAATGCTCGTAAGATGTAAGTGACTTTGTTTTCTATCACAAAAATGCATTTTGGGACAGCTAGTTGCATCATGACATTGTGGGTCCAGCTTGAGAGTTTGTAACATCCTACTATGCAGATTTATAAGAGACAAGCACAGTGCTTAATTTGTAATGAAAGAGGTGATGGGACTCAAGCCATTTTTTTACGTTCATAACTGATGCAGCAAGCCCAGGGGTGCCAGAGCTATGAACTGCCAAGCCTAGAGGTGCTGGGGTTCAGCCTGGCACAAATTAAGCACTGGACAAGCACTTCTGCTCAGGTAAAATCTAGCACATCAAGTT